CCGCCTCGGGGGACCATATACTATACAACCCCTAACAATCTACTTCAACCAATCGAATCTTTTTGCCTTAGGGATTCATTTCAAAATCTTTTTAGAAACAACATGTTACTTTCATTATACCGCAATATAGTTAACGTGTAAGTCTTAAAGCACATGCGGTAACACATAAGTCTCAAATTACGATAGGCAACACACAAAGTATGAGCGGTAGCATTTAACTTCTAGAACACAAACTTAACACTGTCCACTAAAAATAACCAACAAACATTATTTTTTAGACGAACTACGATGATCTGATTTTCTTATTGCACTATAAGCATACGTAGGCACGAGGTTTCGAAACCGAGGAAAGCTCACTAATTTGAAACTTTTTTCCCATCATTCATATCAAGTTAACCTTTATATAATAACACCCTTACAAACAGATGAACAAAGTGGATCCCATTGAGTACAACAAATGTGAGGGTGCTAATATCTTCCCCTTGCATAACCGAGTTCCAAATTCGAATTTGGTTGCGAGACCATTTTCTTCACCTTTTTGGGGTTTTCTCGATATTTTCCGTTTCCTTTGGAATAAATAAAGTTCGGTGGTGACTCTGTGTTTTTTTCGTATAGCGACAACATGCAGTAACGAGATAAGTATTTCTAAGTTCAAGAGTGAGCTAATAAAAGAATTCGAAATGAACAACTTTAGTATTATGACACACTTCCTTGACATAGAGTTCCACAAGTCTAAAACGGGAACATGTATGCATCAAGGAGACATGTCCTTGAGATATTAAAGAAGTTTGATATGGAGCATTGTAATGCTAACATTACACCAATTAAACCAAGGTTGCAGCTATCCCAGAATGAAGAGAAGCAGAACATAGATCTTATTCAATATAGAAGGTTGATTGGATCATTATGTTACTTGTGCAATACGCGGCCATATTTGGTGTTAAGTGTCGGTATTACGAGTATATTCATGGAGAGAGAAAAGGTGCCTCACTTGGCAACAGTCAAGAGAAACTTAAGATACGTCAAAGGATCTATTGGCTGCAGAATTCTCTTTCCCGCAGCGGATACATGCAGAAAATAATTTGCTCAATTTTAGCGATTTTAATTGGTGCAGAGATAAACATGATCGTAAGTCTATAGTTGGATACATCTTTATGTTCGGTAAAACACCAATCTCATGGTTTTAAAAGAAGGAACCGGTAGTTGCACTCTCATCTTGTGAGGCCGAGTACATTTTCGCTTCGTTATGTGCGTGTTAAGTCGTATTGCTAATGAATCTATTGAAAGAGTTAGGCAACATTGAGGGTGAGGATGTGACACTTTTGGTTGATAATGTTTCATCCATTAATCTTGTTAAGAATCCAATTGTACATGGGAGAAACAAGCACATTCAGATGAGCTGGTTTCACTACTTGAGGGAGCTTAGTGAAGGTAATTTAAAATTGAGATATTGTAGAAGTGAGGATTTAGTTGCTGATTTGTTGACTAAGAGAGTCATAAATGATGTGTTCTAGAGGTTGAAGTTGATTATCACTTAGAAGACTTGTAGCACTTGAATTAAGGTGGTTGTTGAGTAAAAACCAATAGTTCAAGTGTTGTAACCGATTAACATGGGGGTGTAATCGGTTACATCTGATGGAAAAAGAACTTTTGGAGTAGGAAAAAGCGTTTTTGGAGTTGTGTTAACCGTCTAACGAAACACTTAACCGGTTACACCTGATATGTGATTTAATTGTTTGTTCAGTGGTAATTGGTTAACAGTTTGTGTTAATTGGTTACGAACGCGACTTTTGGAATTTTCTTGTATTTTAGTGATGTGTTTGAGGTCTCAATCATTTTGTAACACTTGTATAAATGTCTTGGAGAGATCCTCATCTTAAAATGAAATTGTTCATTCTCACCCTAAATTCTCTCTCTCTCTCTCTCTCTCTCTCTCTCTCTCTCTCTCTCTCTCTCTCTCTCTCTCTCTCTCTCCTCTCTCTCTCTCTTGTCCCTCACTATATTCTTCTCCAAATAACCCTAAATCCTCCATTATTCACCAATTATGTGATTGTATGTTTCAACAATTTTGCTCGCCTAACACTTCTTTTTCTTGTTGACTCTTTGTGTACTCCTTTGCGAACTTTCTCCATTTTTTATTAATATACTAGTTGACCATTAAAAAACCTTCTCTTTTTTTATTTAACAGAAAAAACCTTCTCTTTAAAACTCACTTATGTGATAAAAATTATCCGGCCAATAAAAATTGTCAAAAATATTTTTAACTATTTATTATTAAAATAATAAATAATTAAAGATGTTATAATTATAGAAAATAGATTTAAATGTATAAAGTCCACTTGCTGATTTTTATATATTTTTTAGTGTTAATATGCTAAGTTGTGGGGATTTAGAATAGATTGATATAATCTCCTATTAAACCCTAACGATAACCAAAGATATGTATAGGTTTCACTTCATCTTGCATGTTCTATCTTTCTAATCTATTACGATTTTTGCCTTAATCAAACTAAAATTCCAAGAGATTCACAAAGGTTTCACTTCTATGATTCACTTTTCAATTTTACTGTGAATTTCTTTTGATCAATATCTATCTTATTTATTAGTATCTTTAAACATTTGAATGCAGATTTAGGTCTTTTTCTTCAATACGCCAACATGCAAAACTTTGAGCCAATAATCGACTTTGAAGAAGGATGGGGTTTTGTGCATAACGGCATCAAGAAGCTCCAGAACAATCTAGAAGGCTTGCCCGATACTCACCTCAGTTCTGAGGATTACATAATTCTATACACGTATGTTTCAATTCCTTTTTGATTGTTTTTGCATTAGGTTTAATTCTTTTGATTCTATATTTCTTATAATTGTAATGCAGAAACATCTTCAATATGTGAACTGTAAAGCCTCGGTACTATCGCGAAGAACTGTATGAAAAGTACAAACAAGTGATTCATGAGTATATAACTGTTAAATCAGGAGCAGACTTCGATTGAAGTTTTGTTAGAGAAAGAGACAAACTTTTATAACTTGTTGTTCTGAAAATAAAATACAATTTTGATCTTTATATAGACCCAAAGACTTTTACTATTATAAGATAATAACTGCTACTAATAAAAACTATTATAACCTACTAACTCTTGACCTTACAAATTACATTTGGTTCTTAACCTTCCTACTACCTTATTTAATAAGAACACCTGCTACTAATAACATTAAAGTTTACTCAACAAAACTCCTCTGTAAACTTAAATGTTTTTTCCATCCATCATGCCTATCATTTTCTTGCCTCTGTCGAATATTTCCTTCGATAATGGTTTTGTGAAGATATCTGTTACTTGATCCTTGCTTGCTACATGCTTCAATTCAACACTTCCTTCCTTCACATGTTCTTGAATAAAGCGGAATCGAACATCAATGTGTTTGCTTCTTTCATGATTCACTGGATTCTTTTCCAGTTTCGTTATTGATTTGTTGTCCAACTGTATTATTGTTGCACCTTCTTGTTTTAGCTCCATCTTGCTCATCAATCTTCTAAGCCATAATTCATGAAAAACTCACCAAGATGCTGCCACATTTTCAGCTTCACACATCGAATTCGCGTGTCATCGATAGCCAAGTAAATGTTGTGTTTCCCATGAAGAACACATATCCAGAAGTGCTCTTTCGATCGTCTATATCTCTGCACCAGTCACTGTCAAAATAACCAACTAACTTGTAGTCTTCTGTTCTTTAATAAAACATTCCAAGTGACATTGTTCCTTGGATGTACCTTAGGATTCATTTCAATGCCTTCCAATGTGTGTGTGTTGGCTCTTCCACGAGTCGACTTACAATTACAATACTTAGTGAAATGTCTCGCCTTGTGCATGTGAGATAGCGAAGACTACCTACCAGGCTTAGATATTTTCTTACTTTGACACGTTTTCCTCCATCAAATTTTGACAGTTTTGCACATGGTTCCATTGGCGTCGAGGTTGGATTGCAGTTTTTCATCTTATATTTCTCCAAGATTTCTTTTGCATATTTTTCTTATAAGATAAAGATTCCAGTTTCTTCTTGTCGAACCTCCATACCAAGAAAGAATCTCATCAAACCTAAGTCTGTCATTTCGAATTCGCATGTCATGGTGCTCTTGAATTCTCCTATCATTTGAATATCACTGCCTAGAAAAATAAGATCATCAACATAGAGAGCAACAAGTAATACACTATTTCCATTTTTCTTCACATATAAGGCATGTTCATAAGGACATTGCTCGAATCCATTCTCTTTGAAATATGTGTCAATGCGTGTGTCCCATGCCCGTGGTTCCTGCTTCAGCCCATATAGCGCTTTCTTCAATTTCAGCACCTTCTTCTCTTCTCCAATCTTCATATACCCCAGTGGTTGTTCGACATAGATTTATTCTTCGAGCACACCATTTAAGAATGTTGTCTTGACATCCATTTGAAATATTAGCCATTTGAACTGAGTAGCTCGATAAATGAGCAATCGAATTGTCTCCATTCTTGCAACAGGTGAAAACACTTCGTCATAGTCTATTCCTGCTTTTTGTTTGTATCCCTTCACAACAAGTCGCGCTTTGAATCGTTCAATTTCTCCTTGAGAATTCATCTTTTTCTTGAATACCCACTTTACACCAATGGGTTGACTATTTTTTGGAAATTTGACTAGCTCCCAAGTGTTGTTGCGGTCTATTACTCTAATCTCTTCGTCCATGGCACTCTTGCACTTCTTATCTCGTAACGCTTCTTCAACACTGATGTTTTCAGAATCTTCCAGAAGGCACACAAGATGTACCTTATTTGTCGAATCATATAAATCTTTCAAACTTTTCATTTTGGGTTGTAGACGTTGATCTTCATCTTCAATATCTTCATGTTCTGTTGGGGTGCTTGTTGGTATATCTATAATTGATTCTTAGATGGCATCAATAACTTCTGTCGAATTATTGCAGTCCCACTTGCTTGCTTCATTTATTCAAACGTCTCTACTCACGATCACTTTCTTGCTTATGGGATCGAATAGCTTGTACCCTATCGTCTTCTCATCATACCCAATGAATATGTACTTTTTACTTTTGTCTTCCAGTTTTATTCTTTGTTGATCTGGTACATGTGCATAAGCCACACTACCAAATACTTTGAGATGAGAAACTGTTATCTTCTATCTGCTCCATGCCTCTTGTGGTGTTTTATCTTCTAACTTTGAATATGGACATCTATTCTGAAAATAAATAGCACATTGTACAACTTCTGCCCATAATTCTTTCGACATGTTCTTGATTTTAAGCATTGATCGAATCATGTCAAGAATAGTTTGATTCTTTCTTTCAGCCACACCATTTTGCTGAGGTGAATATGGTGCTGTTAGGAATCTCCTTATGCCCTGCTCTTCACAATACTTCATAAAGGTCGTCGAATTATACTCACCACCTCTGTCAGATCGAACTGCTTTGACATGTCTGTCTGTTTCCTTCTCCACTATTACTTTTAACTTTTTGAGCACATCTAATGCTTCATACTTTTCTTTCAAGAAATAAACCCAGGTCTTTCTTGAGAATTCATCGATAAAGGAAATGAAGTACCTTTTTCCACTGAAGGAATCTGGAGTGATTGGCCCACTGTAACGCAGTGGCAGAACTGACTTGGTCGTTTTTGGATTTATCGCAAATGTTGCAGTTTAGCAAGAGTCGGCACCGACTTTTATTTTATCCAAAAGGAGAGGCTGAAAAGAACAGGAAATACCTTTGAGATGTTTTCTTGAGTTTGGGGGGTAGATTATGAAAAAGGAAGGTATTAGCACCCTTTTCATTCGTAGTTATCTACGAGCTCTTAGTTTCTTGCTAGATCACTTGCTTTTGTTTGAAAATATGCTTTGTGTAGTTTTTGAAAGTATTTTGAAAAGGGCGACATCGTTTAGGAAAACTTTGTAATGATTTTTGTTCTTAAGAATGTATACAAAAGTGTTGATCCTTTGAAAATGTTTTCAAGTTTGAAAGGTGTTTTTAAAGTGTTGGTATTTGTTTTGAAAATAGCAAGGATGTTTTGTTTTTGAAATTGAGCAAGAAACTAGGAACATTCTACCTACTCAAAAGTTTTTCATGTTTATTTCCTCATTCCTTTGACATTGTTATCCTATCATTGATTTGGTAAATAACCCTATCTTTGGATGTAAAGGGACGGGCAAGGGTCATCGTATAGCCATGATTAGAAATGTTGTAAGATATCTTAGCATTTTCTTTAGGGACTAAGATCATTTTTGAAAGGCATCTTGGATAGCGTAATCGAGGGACTACGATCTTGTATTTTGTTTGTTTTTTCTATGATACCTCACACGCATAATATGTCCATTTTGTAAGGCAACAAAAGTGGATTTACCCTAAGGGATTATGTGTGCAAGTGTATTGGTTTACATGCTTGATTTGTCTTGATTAGGGTTTGCTATTTGTTTATTTTATTCTTGCCATACAAACCCTAATTTACTAGCATTTATATAAAGCGATAAATTGCGGAAATTAAAATTACTACGCTATTACATCATTTGGGGAGTGGGTATACAAATTTACAAATGGGGAATTGCAAGAAATTAAAACCCTAATTATCTATTACAATCATATTGAATTTGAATAAATGTACAAAAATGAATAAATATAATGCAAGAATGTAAATGTAAAAAGAAATGTGATTTTTGTTTGGTTTTTTATGAAAGGGGTTTTAACCTAAACCTAATTAAGAAAAATGATTAATGAAAATTAAATGAAGTTAATTTAAACTAAATAAGAAAAGAAATTAACTAAAAAAGATTTTTTAGGGTTTTATGTGAATTTGATTAATTTCGCTAATAAAATTAATTAAATAAAAGTCCTAAGCTCTAAATTGATTTTAATTTAAAATAAAATAATATAATAATCATTAAGACTAATGATCTAAGTATTTAAAAAAAGGAAATTAATTTATTAAAGGAAATGTTATTTTTATTCTTTTGTTTTATGAAGAAAATAAACTAAATAAATATAAATAATAAAATATAAATAATTTTTGAATTTTTATTAGTAATAATAAAAATAATAATAATAATGATAATAATAAAAAAAATAATGAAGAAAATAAAAATATAATATAAAATATAAAAGAAAATAAATAAAATAAAAAATAAAATAAAAATTACTTGGGTCAGGTGTGTGAATGTGAAAGCAGGAGTGAGAAATAAGCAAAAAGACAAAAGCCCAACAGCTTGAGGCCCACGCTGCAAGCTTGTGACAAAAAGAGAGAACAATGTGGAAAAAAATGAGAAAAGTGGCAGCGCTGGGGATTGAACCCACGTCCTAAGCATGAAACACGCGCTGCCTTACCACTGGGGTGGCTATACATCCGTTGATATAACTGAAACAATAAATACATAACATAAAACAAGTTCCAGAAAAGAACTTCATCTTCAACCTTCAGCCATAGTTCTTGTAACTTGCTCATTTCTCAACGAAAATAAAAAATGAAAACATGAAAGTTGCTCCATTTTTTCATACGAATCCAACCATATAAATATCATGAGCTATAAATCAAAGAAGAATGAGAATATCTAAAAGTACCAAATTCTGATCTAAATATTTTCAGAGATTCAAACCTAAAATTCTCTAAGCCCAATCAATATAAATGAAATCTATGGATATGTACAGTTTTAGGACAATGATGTCTACATTTTATCTTCACAAATGCAAGCCTAACAATACCTAAGTAATGAGATAAAAGTTCAAGAAAAACACCTCAAAACCGGAAATTGTGAAATGCAAATGAGCTTGATTCAAGGTGCTGCAATGA